GAGAGGAAGACCCTCTATGAAATGGATTGATTCAGTGACTTGGGTAATAAGGGTAGGTATGTTAGAAACAGTGCAACTGCACAGGACAGAGCAGGGTTTAGGGCTGTTGTACGTAGGGTCGCTATGAGTCGCAGGCAACTTGACAGCACATAATAACAACAACTTTGTATTACAGATATATTTCCTTCTGGTGGCCTCTGACTGGAGGATAAAGACAAATAATGGCTGTATGGCCAGAGTGGGTAAATGAGGAAGAGAGTGACAAGACATGAATGGAAAGTTTGGATTGTATTCCAAGTATGACTACAATCCACATGAAGGGTCAGAGCAGGGAAATGATAGGATCTCATCATTTTCAAAGATTCACTTTGGCAATTTGTATTTTCAACCTGATCAATGAGCATTCTGTTTTCCAGTAATCCTGAAGTTAAACTGTTTGCTCTCATTGTTTTTAATGTCATTGTGAATTAAGTTTGAAAATACCATGACTCAAAGTCAGCATTTACCAAGTTTCTACCACATTCCAGACTTTTAACATGTGTGTAAGCTTTTCACATGGGTAAGAGAAGTGGTAAGAAGCTGCATTACAATCCCTAAAGGAGATGCAGTTCAAATCCACCAGCTGCTCCCTGGGAGGATGGACAATCTCCTCCCATGCAGTTAACTGCCTCTGAAAACCCACTGGAGGGTCAGCTACAGGTTGGTCCTGACTTTCACAATATACAACAACAAAAAAGTAATGTAACTGTTGGGGGAAAATTTTTTTAAGTAATGATGGCTCAGTTTTAAATCACACCACTAAAATGCAAAGAATTATTAACAATAGGTCAGAAAGAACAGCAGACATTAGAGGCTTCAAAGAAACCAGGCTTTTGGAACCAAGCCGACTAGGTGAGACTCCTGGTTCCTGTGGGCCTTTGGGCAGTTACTCCCTAGTTTCCTTCTCATGTGTAATTCATGTGTAATAGAGTAGAAGAATGAGCTGATTCACAGAAACTTGGCAGAACACAGTAAATGCTGAATACATTTTACCCATTACTACTATCATTATCATCACTGATATCATAAGGAAGACTGAGAATGACAGGTCTGTACTATTAATGTCCTGGTGGATCAAGTAATGGAATACAGGCAAGGGCAAATGTTTGTAACAGAAAATACCACTACTATGAAAACAGACATCTAGGAAAAGTATGCATTATGACTGCTAGTAAGTGTCATTTTGACAGGCAACAACTGTTTTCGCTTTCTAAAAAAAGCGTTTCATATCTTTTTGTACCTATTTCACATCTCAATCCAAATGATGAAAACAATCATGAGAACTCCTCTGGACTATCATGGCTGCATCAAGGCTTTTTCAATTACCATGTACCCTCAGAACAGAGTTAATGCTAACAGGTCAAGGTTCAGGTAAGTGCTAGATTCTGTGGCATTATTCTATGAATAATGTCCTTCATTCACATGAAGTTTTATGAAGGGGGTCTAATAATTCTTACCCATTCCCACCCCACAGCCCCAAATGTCCCAGCATACCGACCTGAAATCCAAGCTATATATATATAGGTGCTGTCGAGTTGTAGACGACTCATAGCAACCCTATGAGAGTTTCTGGAGGCAAGCCATTTCTGAAGTGGATGCTACTCCTGCTTCCAAGCTTGTTTTAATTGGGGAGCTCCACCAAACACTGTCCACCATGAGTAACCATTATCACACGTGGCACATAAGTGTCACAACAACCATCTACACAGCAATGCACAAACCAGTTCTATCCACTTACGAAATGGTTTGCTTCCAGAAACTCTATGAACAGTGCTCAGCTTTTTCGTTCATAGGTTCACTATGAGTCATCTACGACTCAATGGCACCTAACAGATATATATAAAGAGATACATATATCTATATATCTATACATGTTTTTTATACTGCTTTAGTACAGCTGAAGAATTGTGCAGGTTAGTTTGTTTTTCCATAGAGTTTCACAAGAGACAACGCTGTCTAGGAAGCACTCACTTTGTCAAACGTGCCTCCTTCACAGTTTTCTGCCAGA